CAATATTTTCTCTTCCCAAAAATAGCTACAGTTTTCCCGAAGACCCATGGTCTGAGTGTTCGCCGTACATTAGGCTCCCTCGCAGAGAGGGTGAAAATGAATAACTCCTAATGATAAGTAGTTTCCGTCCGTGCAATCAGATGATTATGAATGGTTTAGGATTCTTGCTACTGTCGCTCGATCACTTTAATATTTCGTAGTCTTCCACACAGTCGGGTTTCTCTATAGCGCTCTTTCCGCTCCACATCATTTAGCGATGGCTTCTCTGTGATGTTCACGACTCCTGCGTTCACGAATCCTTCCCCACCCTTTTTAGCGGCCAAGTACGACCTTTCCTCCCCCCTCCTCGCTTGAAGACTTTCGCACAACGACAGCGTACCTCGGGATGCCGAATCGCGTATGCATTGGTAAGGTTAAAAATTTGTATCCGCTCTTAAACTGCGTTCCACTTTCTTCGGCCCCTATATCGCTTTCTCATCGACGAGATGATGCGGGACGACTACATCAGTCGAGCTGTCGAGCGAACTGGACGAGTCGCCGCCTCAAGAACGAGCTACAGAGGCGGGTTGATAGTGGCAAATAGGCCATGTGCCACAGTAGCAGTATGACTGCTGACAGGTGCGCCATTCCACCTGCTCCTAACCATAAGGTGGGGAAGGGAGCCACGCCTAACACGTTGACGACATTATGAGCCACCGGTGGCTCCTTAGCTAGTGGCCATGTGGAACAGTACGAGCGACCGGTGGCTTTTGCATCACTTTTTGGGTTTTTGGTTGCCTCTTAGAAGCTCACCTTTCACAAGTCATCAGATTACAAAAAATGTCGATATAAACTGACAGTAATAACCCAAACTTTGAAACTTTGGGTTATTACTGTCAGTTTATATCGACATTTTTTGTAATCTGATGACTTGTGAAAGGTGAGCTTCTAAGAGGGATGAACCAGAATAATGTTACCGTCTTCATGAAATATTTTGAATTGGAAATTGGAATTTTTCAACTAGCTGTTGCTATGCCGAAACCTCCAAACCAATTATTTTTGAAAACCTTGATCGTGGGGACTCCTCGGGGCTCTGATCACAAATGTCACATCATTTGTCGTCGCTACCATATGGCGCGCCATTTGGGCCCCAGCAGTCTTCTTGACACCGAGTTCGATATAAATTTGTGTGCCTGGATTATGTACCATCCTTACAGGGGAGGTCTTTTAGGTTATGGCGCGCTTTTTAGAAATGGTTTGTTGCATGTTGTAGGGGTCCATATAAGGATCACAAAAATGGGTTTCGTTTTTGCTATGCATTTCTGGGAATGTCAAAAATGAGTGAAAATTTTGCTGAGGAAAAAGATTTTAAACCATTTTTCTAGCCTCTTTTCGATTTCTGATGTCGAGTATGTATAGCAAATGAAACTTTCTGCACCGGAAACAATACAAGTCAAGGTGAAAAAAGTACTTTATTTGGCACACAGTGAGGCAGCATTGTAGTTTCTCAAGTGATTCTCGCAGCATCCCAACCCGCAGTTAGGGGGGGGGGTATTCAGAGCCATGTTGGCGCCAATTATAAAGGTCAGAACCGTGATCAGGGTGCTAATAACCTCTAACAACAGCAACAAAACATTTCTAAGAAGCGCGCCATGAACCTAAAAGACCTCCCCTGTAAGGATGGTACATAATCCAGGCACACAAATTTATATCGAACTCGGTGTCAAGAAGACTGCTGGGGCCCAAATGGCGCGCCATATGGTAGCGACGACAAATGATGTGACATTTGCGATCAGAACCCCGAGAAGTGATCAAAGGTTTCCAAAAATAATTAGTTTGGAGGTTTCGGCATAGCAACAGCTAGTTGAAAAACTCCAATTTCCAATTCAAAATATTTCATGAAGACCGGTAACATTATTCTGGTTCATCCCTCTTAGAAGCTCACCTTTCACAAGTCATCAGATTACAAAAAAGGTCGATATAAACTGACAGTAATAACCAAAAAAGTGGTACAAAAGCCACCGGTCGCTCATACTGTTCCACATGGCCACTCGCTAAGGAGCTCATAATGTCGTCAGCGTGTTAGGCGTGGCTCCCTTCCCCACCTTATGGTTAGGAGCAGATGGAATGGCGCACCTGTCAGCAGTCATACTGCTACTGTGGCACATGGCCTATTTGCCACTATCAACCCGCCTCTGTAGCTCGTTCTTGAGGCGGCGACTCGTCCAGTTCGCTCGACAGCTCGACTGATGTAGTCGTCCCGCATCTTCCGATCTGTTATGAGAAAGTTGCGAGTATAGGGGCCTGTTAATGAAAGTGATACGCGTAGTTTGAGTAGCGGATACAAATTTTCAAGAATCGCAAGTTTGAGTAGCGGATACAAATTTTCAATCAACCTTATCTCTTAAACGCATACGCGATTCGGCATCCCGAGGTACGATGTCGGCTTTGCGTATAAGTCTTTTCATTAGCGAGAGGTGGGGAATGAGTAGGTCGCTACTTGTCCGCTAGCAAGAGGGCGGAATCGAGTCGTTGAATCATCACTAGAGAAGCCAGTCCCTAAATGTATGTGGACCGTGATACGAGCGTATAGAGAAACCCTGACTGTGTTGGAAGATCTACGAAATGATTATTAGGTTGTCGGCGGAAAGTTCTCTAGCGTTTTGATGGGCAACGCTATTTTTTTGTACATTCAGTCTGCTGATTAAAAACTCATTCTTAGCTTGCTTCTCAGCGCACAGTACCGTAGAGAATTGCTTTGCCGTCTTATCTGATGGTATAATTGCCGTTTCACCATTGCTTGATAAACCCCCTTTTTTTCAAGATTTTTTCAAGCATGTGAAAAGAGCACTTCGGACGATTTTTTTCTTCGGCTATAAATTGGGGCAATCCGCAATCGAAACAGCTCAACAAATTAACCAGGTGTGGGGGCCCAATAGTGCTAGAGAAAGCACTGTGCGGCAATGGCTCAACAAATTTCGTTCTGGAGATTTCAGCCTTGAAGATGAACCTCATAGCGGTCGACCTAAAGCAATATCTGACGAGGATTTTAGGGGATTTTGGAGGCTGACCCATCCCAAACAGTTCGAGAGATAGCAGAAGAGCTAGGCCTTGGCAAATCCCACTGTAAGGCAGTTATTGTCTTGGAAACGCATTGGAAGGTGAAAAAACTCGACAATTGGTGCCCCCACAATCGGAGTGACCGGCAGGAATCGGCACGTCTCGAGGTTCCTTCTGCATTGCTTTTGCGCAGCAGAAACGACCTGTTTTTGAGGCCGAATTGTCTCTGTGATAAAAAATGGGTCATGTATGATAACAGGAGACGTTCTGGACAGTGGATTGGATTTCGACGAACCACCGAGGTAATTTTCAAAGCCGAACCCTCACGAAAAAAAGATTCTTGTTACGGCTTGGTGGTCATCGCTGGGTTGTTGTTCACTATAACTTTTATCACCAGGCCCATCCATCACAGCAGAACCCTACTGTGAAGAAGTCGTCGAATTGTAAAAATTTTGTCAGATGCAGCCAACACTTATCAAAAGAAAGGGTCCGATTCCTTTGCATGACAACGCCCGCCCACACGTTATTTTTTTTTTCTCACAAATCACTATCGGTAATATTGAACGGATTGGGGTCGTTGAAGTCTACATCAACCACCATATTCTCCAGACCTTTCACCGACTGTCACCTTTTCAAACATTTTCAGAACTTCCTTGCTGAAAAATACTTCATCAATTAAGACCAGGCAAAAATAGACCCGTAGATTCGTGATTCCGACCCCAGTTTTTACTTTGATGGGATTTCTCGACTGCTGTCACATTGGCAAAAGTGTGCTGATTCGAATGGTGCCTATTTCGATTAAATCCGATGAGTATTAAAAAATACGATCGTTTAAAGTGAAACACCCAAAACGCTGAGAACTTTCCGGACAACCTAATAAAATGATCGAGTGACAGTAGCAAGAGTTAGCACAAATTCGTAATGCTAAATATTACAACGCAAATAGTTTCTTTTGTATCCTAAACCATTCATAATCATCTGCTTGCACGGACAGAAACTAGTTACCAGTAGAAAAATTTTCACCCTCTCTGCGAGGGAGCCTAATGTACGGAGAACACTAGACCATGGGTTTTCGGGAAAACTGTAGCTACTAGGAAGAGAAATATTGAGAATTGCTAAGAAAAAATAGGGGGGTGGCATAAAAGGAGACACGGTTTGCATTCGAAGCATAAAAATCCGATGCGCTTTGCCATAAACCCATTCGAAACCCTATCGGATCATTTCTCAAACTGGGATAGTTCAGGCTACGGTTAGTAGGAAAACGCAGAAGTATTGCCATCTCCTCAACAGGGCGTTCAGTTACCCGAAAGCTCTGCACACATAAACCCTTTGCATAGAACTAGCCACCAAATGGCCTCACTCATTTCTTTACTTGGCGATAGCTACAGGTAGTAAGAGACTAAAGTGTTGGGAAACTTGAATTTAAAAGAATTTCTTTATTCAGAGTACGTACAAATAGACGTTAATTCTCACAGTTAATTATTGTAAGCCATTAATGCAACAACTTTCCTATTGGAGTTCAGCAGCAAGACTGGGCTGACCCTGAAAATCGCATCTGCAGTGATCGTGATTGTTATCAAACCATATACGCTTAAAATCCCTGAGATGAGGTAGGCGTGAACGCGACTTTCAACTGTGCAGCGGCCAAGGACTTTTTATGTGTAGATTATCTTTCCGTTTTGGGGCAGTTTGATGGCTGTCGCTTGTCTACAACAGGAACAAGATGGCTGGTCTCAAACTGAAAACAACATCGAGTACCCCCATCCTATGCCATGCTCAAATGCTGCGCCTGCTCCGTCTCGGGATGGGGACTGTAATGTGGGTAGAAGAGAGCTACCTCTTTGTCTAATTCTTTCGAGCCGGACAATGGCGAAGCTGTCTTAACATCTTCAGGAGGTTCACTTTTCTCTTCTCTTTCCTCTGCCTTCTTCAGGCTATCTTGTCTACTTTGTAAATTCAAATTTTTTCTGCTTTCTACCTCTGTCTTCTTTTGGCTATCATGTTTGCTATGTGAATCTGATTTTATTCTACTGCCTTCCTCTGCCTTCTTTCGGCTATCCTTTCCGCTTTGTGAATTCGAATTCATTCTGCTTCCTTCCTCTGCCTTCTTTTGGCTGTCTCTTCTGTTAGGTGCATTTGAACTTATTCTGCTCCCCTCGTCCTCCTTCTTCTTCCCTTTGCTTGACTGTGGACCTTTTGCATTCAGAGAGCTGATCTGCAAAGCCTAAAGTGAAGTGGAGTGATCCGCACCGGGAGACTTGGTGTCGTTTCTTCCTCACAAGTTTTTGAAAAGCAAAATTCTTAAGTAACCAAGGAATGGGGACGGAACCAAGGAGGAGGTGTCGCTGCCAAAGCACAAGTGACTGTCTATACCGCGCGCTAGGCCAGGTACGGAGACTAAGTCCGAAGAAGGCTCCCATCTAAGGAGATTAGGTCTTCAACCCTCCGCAGGCGTGAGATTGGTACCAGATTTGAGACTGGGAGGATGACAGCCTGACTTGCACGTCAGCTGGCCCCTCAAGTCAGCGTGGAGGCTACGTGGGACTCGAGAAGCCTTTACAATACTCAAAGAATGTACAATCATGATCCGTGCGAAAAACAGGACTTCTGAAAGGAGCGTAGCTTGGAGCGCAGTCATATCAGATTTTCCCACCCGTTGTAGCGGGCTCGGGGATGGCATCATTGGATGGGGGAAAAAAAAAGGAGGGAAAAGAAAAGGGTGCCCTGGCTGCGCTCCACTACGCGCGTCGTCGCTCGGCACCTACGCATCTAATATTCGACAACAGCATATCGAGGAATTTCGTTACCTCTGCTTCACGTAGTTTCTGGTTGCCTCTCTGGAGATGCTGCTGTTGAGAGGGTCGATGCAAAATCGACAACTTTGGAGGTAACAACCGCAGGTGGCCGTATATAAGTAAGTGCTGCTGCCATTTCTAGGATTCCGTCCGCGAGACATTCCTTAGGCCCAACACATCTCCTGCTGTGCGCACCGACTGTGGCAGGCCGCGGAAGCATTGTGCATAGCATTCCCTGAGCAGGCGCCTTTGCCCAGGCCGCCCTGTCTCAAGGAAAGGCACTCCTCATCTATCAAACTGCATCAACTCGGAGTAGGAGCGCTCAACTGGACCTGCACCCTCTAATGTTCGACTCGACCCTGGGCTTTGTATCGCTTCAAGCGAAGCTAAAATATGAATCGAGGGATTGCCTGTGAACGACAGCGGTTGCTGCATGGATGTATGGAAGGTTACCAATTGTTACCATGACCAGCCGTAAATCTCGGCGAGGCGGGGGCAGTCGGGGTTGGCAAAGCAGCGACATTAGGCAATTACTGGGCACTTGACGTCAAACGGCGGGATTATTCGTTCAGAAAATCGGTTTATTCTGCGGGTGTGTTAGAACTAAAGGCTTTGTTCGTTTCGCAGTCCAGTCGTTTTCACTTTTCGCTTTTTCGCCATTTTCTACACTATACAGCCCTTAGTAGCATTCGTAGACCGTATGTTACCACAATTATCAGCGGCCAATCTGTTAAGCGGAGCGCTGGGCCCGTTAAATCATTCGGTAAGGACGACGCGATCGGGACAGAGCCTTAAAGGGGTGCCGCGACTCTCAGCGACAAGCTGCTGAATTGTAAGCTTGACGTCATGCGATATTGGGAGGAAAGCAGCAAGCTACATTTCGCATTTGAGGGCAACAGGGGACGCACCTGTGACGTCTTAGGCGAAGGAGAGGCAAAGACATGTATAATAGTCGAGAGAATTTGGCCCGCGGTGGGACATCATCAGAGTGCCCTTCGGACATCTATGTAGAAGTGCGCGGCCGTTGCAGCTGTCAGCCTTACGCGACGGTGTTGCTTCGGCTTCCTTGACCAAATGTCCCCCGATGGCACCTATTCATGACAGCACTGGCCGTACGGAGCAATTATTTTTTGAAACGTTAGGGGAGTAACGGCTTGGAAAAGGCTCAACACTCAGTCATTATCTACCAACATCTGGTCCCCCTTGCTTACTATAAACTTTCAACCGTGAGAAGGCTGCAGCATATCATTGAGGACTGCAGTTGCGACATCAAAATAGTTAAAGTTGAATTAGCCCGGATGAGTTCTTGATAATCGGAAAGGGCATAACTTGGCAGTCAGTCAGTGGTGGCCACAAATTAAAGTGAGAACTATTGCTTGTACATTATCAAAGTGGCTTTAATGTCGCACGGATGTTCTGTCGAATGTTAAGCGACAGTACGTCCACGCCTCGAGTTGTCGGCGATTTCCCTCCTAATTCTGCTTCAAATACGGACCCCACCTCCTAACGCGTCACATAGCAGGCATATTTGCGAAAATTTTTTTGCTTGATGAATTTTTCGAATTTCCCGTTTCAGGCGCGCAATATACCCTCCCCCCCCGCTCGACATCATTTCACGCACTTAATAGCAAACACTTCAATGGAGGACCTTGATTACGTCCGTACATCGAAGGGAAGAGTTCACACATTGAGCCTCTAATACTCCGCATTATAGTGGCAAGAAGTGATAAAAGTGCGGCACAAATGGTATCTGTTTTCATCGATCGATAAGATTACCTGTCACCCGTCATCAATGTCCTCATCACAGAATCTCTATAACTGCAACTTTCTTTATCAGCCCCTATCAGTAGTTCTTGTCACCTACCTTATCGCTCTTGGTCCATACCCTGTATACTATGTAGGAATCAAGAGCTAGCTGGTGCTGTGACCCGTGTTACGGATATGGTGACCTCCCCCTTAAAGACAGCCCCCGCGCTCAAGTAGTACATGGTCATCCTTCCTTGGGCAGGTAGTTGAGCCCGCAAGCTAGATACTGTCTCACTCTCGCGACTCCTCAGCGAGCGAGGAGCGAGCTAGAACCGCTCACTAGTTCTAACTCCTGCTCAGTTAGGACCGCCTTACTAGCTAGCTGCCCTCTGACTGAGAGTCGCTCAGTTGTTCCTTGTTGGGACGGCAGTCATTAGTCGGAACTGCATGTATTTTCGCTGACCGCGCTCGTGCTCGTAAATAAATCCTGCATTCTCCTTCATCAAATATTATTCATTGCGAGCAACGTAAGTTCACAGCAACCATACTCGTAAAGCGGAAAAACGCCGTAAGCACATCATGAATGAATGCAATTTCTGTTGGTGCAGACCGCCTACGACGCACTTCATTACACTAAAACATGCTCGCTACCGTAACCCTAAGTTCGGACGCCGGCTTTTCAAATGTTTCCTTTTCTTTTCAAGAGTTTTTCCTCTATGTTTCTGTTGTTTTTTGTTTTCTTTTTTCTTCGCATTCGATGATATCCACTACTGGGAGATGTGACAAAGTGTATTTTTGTGAGCAGGCGCTTGCACAGAGACCGCAGGGAGGTGTGACTGTCAGGGCGCGATTTTGTTTATGGTGTTCTTGAGGGCTCTTGTTTCTTTTTTCCTTCATTGAGGAATTACTTATCAGCTACTGTTTCATAATTGATCAGCAATTATCCTTGACACTTTTATCGCGGGAGCTGTCTTTAACGCCTCTTATCGGATCTTATCAACTGATATCGCCTCCAGTCACTCACCAATAGTGTTCCCGTTACACCCTCTACATCACTTCTTGGAACCAATGTCTCACTGATACTGGAACTGGCGCCATGGATTTCGCGAGAAACAGACGGACGCACACACAACCATAACCACATCATACGCAACAGACATATCTTTAAGCGATATATGTTTAGTAGGACAAGAACCAATGTCTCACTGATACGTGGAACTGCGCTTCATATGGAACGGGGACTGCAGTAGTGCCCCACGCCTCTTACCCTGGTACATGCGTACCGAACTCTGTTGCGCGCCTTTTGCTCCACTCGATTACAGCGAACTACTCGACGATTTTTTTTATCTAGTGACTGTTCTCCAGTGCTAGTGAAAAAAGCAAGGACCTGTGAGGAGCTTGTCTATTACTCACTCTAGCCATCATCATCTCCTCTCTCGCCATCGTGTCCTTGCAACCTCCTGTAGTTCCTCCAGATACACGAGCCATCAGAGCGTCGTTTTGTTGTTGCTGTTCTTCAAGTGGTGGTGTCGGATATTCGTCGGTACATGGAGTGACTATGGGATTTGAGACGACTTGCTGCAAACATCTACATACTAATTTGAATTTTAAATACTGTCGCTGTCAACATCTAGGACTCCGTAAAAAACGTGCTACCCATAGAAAAATCTCGGTCGTATTGAAAGGCTAGTGACCTGCGATCAGTTGAAAGATTCCCCTCTACCCTTCGGATAGCAGCGTATACCGAAATCACCATGATCGGCCGTAGGCGCGAGCAATATCGAACACTGTAATAACGGGCACTAGTGAATATTCCAGTCTGACACTGATCATCTCGTTCTGTGTTGACAGAGACACAGGACACGAATTAATGTCGAGAGAAAAATTCGCATCAGAAGCATGTAGAACGCCTTAAGAGGTAAGTGCGAAACATTGCGAGCACACCGCCTCCGATCTCAGGGATCTCGAGTGTAGATAGGACCACAGAGGCAGCGACGGCGCAAAGGCGAGAGAAGGCCAACTATTTCGTCAGTCCTCTTATTGGCCTCGAGGATATTAGTGCTCTAAGGAGAAACATTTGTGATCGATGTCGTCGAGACTCATATCGGTCACAACACCATTGGCCCGATGGTGTCGTCCAATCGCACCCTTTGCTCTCCCTCTTCTCGTTCGAATGCGCTCTCTAGGAGGTCTTATTAACAAGACGATTTGTGGACCATTATACTTCTGTTCCTCCCCAGGCCTTACCTGATGTGTGCATCGACTATTTCGAAGCCTACTAATCCAGGTATATCTGAATCGACGGGCTTTGTATATCACGTGGTCAAAGCATGAAGAAACAAAAAACAGGACACAAGCAGTTAGTTCAGGAGATTCTAGTCGAATGTACTGAGCGATAAGCCAGGCGTCGAAGTACGGAGACACCGGTGAATCGTTTCAGTGCAGAAATGCTTATAGGGGGGGGGACGGCCGTAGATTCGGCTAACAGTGCAACAGTCAGTGACACTAACTTAATGAAATTGAAACTGACGAAGTCGAAAAATACCAGGAAAGAGCAGAAATCCTCGGGACCTCTGTCGATGCTGAGTCTGTAATGCGTTCGCCTCTTCAACGTGGATACCAAATGTACATCGCGTTAGTCGCCCACAATCATTGTAGAAGCTACATCCGCTCAACGAGCTTTTGAAATTCTGATTGGTAAGCAAAAGCCGGAAACCCGCTCCCAAAAAAAAAAAAAAAAAAAAAAAAAAAAAATAAAAAAATTGGAAATTGATCAATGCGACAGCGATAATAAACCACTTTCTTCCACTATAAGTTTTAAAGATCGCTGTCAGATCACGCACCCTACCTAACAGCTCTACCCATATAGTGAGACTTATTCAATCAAACTGCAATGACCTGATGGGTTTTAGGCGTCAAAGAGCTGCATCGGGGGTTCAACAATGGCCCCAAAAAGTAAAAACTGGCCAGTTCGCACGTGTTACGGCTCCGACTCGAACCTCCCGCGAACCACATTCTAGGATCATCCATATCAACCCCAAGAGTCTTTGAAACATCATTGAGGATTTATATTAGGTTGTCCGGAAAGTTCTCAGCGTTTTGTGCACCTATTTTTTGTACATTCACTGCTGATTAAAAACTCATTCTGCCTTGCTTCTCAGTAGCACATCCTGTAGAGAATTTCTTGCGCTATCTGATGGTATAATTGCCGTTTCACCATTGCTTGATAAACCCCCTTTTTTCAAGATTTTTTCAAGCATGTGAAAAGAGCACTTCGGACGATTTTTTTCTTCGACTATAAATTGGGGCAATCCGCAATCGAAACAGCTCAACAAATTAACCAGGTGTGGGGGCCCAATAGTGCTAGAGAAAGCACTGTGCGGCAATGGCTCAACAAATTTCGTTCTGGAGATTTCAGCCTTGAAGGTGAACCTCATAGCGGTCGACCTAAAGCAATATCTGACGAGGATTTTAGGGGGATTTTGGAGGCTGACCCATCCCAAACAGTTCGAGAGATAGCAGAAGAGCTAGGCGTTGGCAAATCCACTGTTGCAGATGGTCTGGAACGCATTGGGAAGTGTGACAAAAAGTCGAACAGTTTGGGCTGCCTCACAATCGGAGTTGACGGCAGAGAATCGCGCACGTCTCTCGGTTCCTTCTGCCAAGGCCTTTTGCCGCCTGCAGAAACGACCTGTTTTTAGGTCCGAATTGTCCACCTATGCCATGGAAAAAGGTCATGTATAACAGGAGACGTTCCGGACAGTGGTTGGATTTCGACGAACCACCGAGGTAATTTTCAAAGCCGAACCCTCACGAAAAAAAGATTCTGGTCACGGCTTGGTGGTCATCGGCTGGTGTGATCCACTATAACTTTTTATCCAGGCCAAACCATCACAGCAGAACCCTTACTGTGAAGAAATCGACGAATTGTACCGAAAATTTTGTCAGATGCAGCCAACACTTATCAAAAGAAAGGGTCCGATTTCTTTTGCATGACAACGCCCGCCACGTTTCACAAATCACTATCCATAAATTGAACGAATTGGGGGTTGAAGTTCTACCTCAACCGCCATATTCTTCAGACCTTTCGCCAACGACTATCACCTTTTCTAACATTTTCAGAACTCCCTTGCTGGAAAATACTTCATCAATCAGGACCAGGCAAAAGTCGGATTCGTGAATTTTTCGACCCCAGTTTTTTACTTTGATGGGATTTCCGACTGCTGTCACATTGGCAAAAGTGTGCTGATTCGAATGGTGCCTATTTCGATTAAATCCGATGAGTATTAAAAAAGTTACGATCGTTTAAAGTGAAACACCCAAACGCTGAGAACTTTCCGGACAACCTAATATACCATAGCTCTCATTTATGGTGACTCACTTTGAGATAAATAAATTTCAGCTCAATATCCTCGTGACATGTACAGACGTTTTCAGCGCAATTCGCCGGATTCAACCACGAGTCAATATCATCTGTTGGATATTCGTCTGTACATGGTGTGACAACAGGATTCGACAAACATTTCTGCAGAGTAAGATTGTTGAGGAATGATAGTAGCATACTACTGTAAGTAATAGTAATATTTATACAACGTCATTCCTCTATAAAAGAATGTTCTTTGAGTACGGCTACTCACTATTGTTCGGCTCCTGGTCGGACTCCAATAAACGAATACGCTGCTTACGGTTTCCATACAGAACAAAAATTAGA